ATGTTTACAAAGAGCTCCGGTCTTTTTATAGATCCGGCTTACAATGAAATCAAAATAAAACAAAGAAATCAAAATTACAACTTCTCTCTTTTACCGAACAAATCACAAGATCCTGTTATTCGGTCTCGTGCTCTGTGGGTTGTTTGCCTGCGCCGGTTGCCTTACCTGGACCACGCGTGATCCGGATCCAAGCAGATCTACGACGTATTACGGGTATTATCCCACCAAGGAGATAAATAGCGGGAGGGATCGTTTCACCAAGGAAAACGACCGCTCGAATCTCGGGATCTAAGAACAGCCTAGAATCCGGAGTGTAACGACGTAATCTGAGGATTAGACTCTCCGAACTCCTGCCTTTTTCGGTGCGGCGCGTAAGAATCAAATCCGGTCTCCAAGTCTTCAAGCCTTCAGATCTCCGAGTTGAGGTGACAATCGGCAGAGTTTCGGCTCTCTCAAAAGTTTCAGAAGAAGTCCCAAATGAACAACCACCCCCCCTATTTATAGCCGCTCTAACTGTGCCTTTGTGCACAAGAGAGAAGAGGGGGGAGTCGGGCCACCTGAGGGTGGCTCGGTCATGCCGAGCCCTGAGTGGCTCGGCCTTGGCCGACCCCTGGGGTGGCTCGGCTTTGCCGAACTCCAGCGGTGGCTCGGCCTTGGCCGAGCCACCCTGAGGTGCGCTCGGCCTTAGCCGAGCCACCCTGGGGTGGCTCGGCCACCGAGCCACCCTGGGGTGGCTCGGCTTGGGCTCGAGCCACCCGGGTTGGCTCGGTTTAGGCGAGTCCCGGTGTATAAAGTTGTTAACTGAGTGCAATGACATCGATAATGAAGAAAACACCAACTTTTCCCGCGAACACCTAGAACCCATCTTAAACAAAAGAGAAGTCTGTTGGACCCTAGAGGGGGGGTGATTAGGGTCAAGAGGCTCTAATATGCAATATAAAATCAGCACAAGCAAAACACAAAACAAAAATGCGATAAAAGTAAGAGAGATAGGGTTAGGAGTTCGTTATCCTTGACGCGCGATGTGTTAACGAGGTTCGGCCCTCTGGCCTACGTCCCCGCTCCCCACTCTCGAGGAGAAATCCACTACACACCCGGTTTGGAAGCCGGAACTTCGTCTACACAGCGATCTCCACAGATCTCTCTCACTACACAGTTTGATCTCAATAGATCACACCCTCACAGTAGATCTTACACAAGATCTCACCCTCACAGCAGAAGAAAAGATGCAAGAACCTCTCTTTACACAGCCCCTATAGCAAAGAGTAGGTTTACTGAAGCTGGAAAGTAAATCACACTTAAAACAGAGAGAAAAACAGGATTTGAAATTTTTTCTCAGGAAACAGAAAGCTCTCTCTGGTTTTCAAACGTTAGGGAAATTTGAGAAGAAGAAGACTGGGGTTTTTATAGAAGAGATTTATCAATAAAAAAACAAAGAAGCAATCTTCTCAAATTAGTAAGTAATCTCCTTTATCAGCACCTGACCTCAGACTGTGCCAAACACTATTAAGTGTAAGCACAGTAATCCAGGTTACAGGCAAACGATCGTTTAAAAAGTCGCAGCTGAAAAAAGAGGAAATCGGTTGACCGAAAGGAATTTTCGGTCGACCAAAAAACACTTCGGTCGACCGACCAAAAATTCGGTCGACCGCAAATACTTAAGAAAACTTAGAAAACGAGCAGAGCCACCGTCGGTCGACCGGCTCGGTCGACCGATTTAAAAATCGAGATTTCGGTCGACCGTACCGGTCGATCGATGACCTCTCTGGAAAATAGTGAGGAAAGGCGATGGGAGCGGTCGACCGGACCGGTCGACCGCTTTCTGACATTCTTCAAGAAAACAGTTTTTAACCAACTTTAAATATTTGCAAAATATTTATTTGACCTCTAAAAAATCTGAAACTTTGTAAAATGTTTTTAATACTAAAAACAAACTGTTTGGAAAAGGAATTTTGCAGATAGGTCCTCATGCTTATGAAAAATAGTATTTTGTGAAAAACGCTTAAAAACCTATGTATGAAATCGTGTGTGTGATTCCCAATAGCATCAAGTAAAATCAGTAACTCTTTGCCTACATTCTAGCACTAGAGAGAGAAAACAAAAGAAAGCTAATATCCTTATATAGAGAGCAATACTTGAGCTTTGATATAGCTTGAATCGGATGAAGCTTGTATTCGAATTTGACGTTCTTAAAATAACGTTGCTTCATCTCTTGGCCTCCACCTCCTTTGGATATCTTCGTTGCAGCGTATATTCCATCCATCCTCCGTTAACGGCACTAACGAGCTTGATAAATGAATTTACTACATTCTCACTCAATAAGCTATTAGTACTGATAATGGTGGTTGTAAAACATCATCAAAACATAAGGGCTAACAATCTCCCCCTTTTTGATGATGACAACCAACCATTATATAAGAGCAAAAATAAAATAGCTTATAGATAGGTGCTCCCCCTATCTATGAGCTCCCCCTAAATATATGCAACAAATGAGGAGATTTCTCTCCCCCTTTGTCACCATCAAAAATGGGGAAAGAAATGCAAAATGCAAGAT